CGGGAATATTAATTATGATAGTGGGCGCTCACCGATCCGGTTACGGTACATGCTCGTTCCGTTGTGCCTTGGGGCTCATAATAGAACCCACGCAGGCAGTCGCACAGCGACTAGTAGGAGATATAGATGAGTCCGATCACAACCGACAGGACAACTGGCCCGTGGCTCAATGGTAGAACGTCAAACTCCATGACCAAAGATCCTGGTTTCGAATCTCAAGTGATCCACACTTGGGGTTCGGTTTGACTGGCTGATGACGGCTAATAAGCCAGAAATGGCCATTCCGGTCTCCCTTGTCTTTGTCGGTATCACCTTATCTACCTATATCACTAGTCGCTGAGCGACTGACTGCGAGGGTTTAAGTATGAGCCCCAAGGCACAACCGACCGAGCATGTTCTGTAACCTGATCGGTGAGCGCCCACTAACATAATTAGTATTCCCGACCACAACCGACAGGACAACGGGCCCGTGGCTCAATGGTTGAGCGTCAAACTTCACGACCAAAGATCCCGAGTTCGAGGCTCGGGTGTTCCACACTTCGGGCTTTGGTATGGCTGACTGACGACGGCTAATAAGCCAGAAATGGCCATTCCAGTCTCGCTTGTCTTTGTCGGTAATACTATGCTGCCTGTATATCATGCGCCGCGGTGCTGCTGCTGGTTGGGCTCGAGAGAGTGCCCTTAAGGCACAACGGGACGAGTAAGTTCCGTATGAACTATCGGTGAGCGCTCCCTACCATTTGATATATGTATATGTTATATATATGTCGGAACCATATAACGGCTATTCCGATTGTGATCTTTCTCTGATTAAGGGAGATGTTTTGCACACTGTTACTGGTGTGCTTTCGCGCTTAAATGGGTTTCTTTTATGTGCGTAACATTCAGGAGCGCGTTGTTTGCTTGCAGTTCGCTTGGACGCGTTCGTCTAATACTCCGGGACGTTTTATTGTCTTCTGAAGTCTTTCTTGGTGGACCTCCGCTCGTACATGAAACTTTTTATCGATTTCACCGAGCTCCGTGGCTTGCGCTTTCTTCGTCGGCGGTCGACACATTTAAAGGAGCAGCTTTTGTGTGCACTCTAATTTTTCTTCTGATTTTTGGCTGTGGAATTCCGCACTTCAGGCAAATGACGGAGTTTCCTCGATTTCTAGATACCTAACCTTCTTCTGTATCACAGACAGGTTCTACAGGAGAGTGATGCGTATTTACATTCTTCGTCTTCGTATATGACTCTAAAAGAGCTTAGTGGTAGGTGATTTGGATTCAGGATCTGCAAAATTGCAGCTATTTTAACAACGTCTAGTATATAATCCCTCATCTACTTAAGGTTGGCCGCCACACGTCGGTGGTATGACAGGTTCAGTCCAAATGACAAAGTTACCCGTAACGAGGGATGTAAATGGTTGAGCAAACATTGAGAATATGGCCTTCACTATCTATACTTCAGCCGTTTTAGGCTGTTAGATCCGCTACCAAATGCTTGAGCCCAGACTTGTCCCGGCTGCGATCAATTGACCAATACAGAAGTGTCCACGGACACAGTGTCTGGCGTGCTCTTGAGGTGGACCGAAGGTAACACGTACAAGCGGCAGCACCGGCGACAAGGACAGTAGACTGCGACAGACTTCTGTGACAAAATGAGCAGAACGATGATGGACTGAACTCATTCCTCAAGACTCATGTGGAACTCTCCATGTAAAATATCCCATTACTCATGATTTATTTGCACACTGAGCCCAATTTTCGGCGCAGATAGGGTAATCAATGCCCGACTCTTATTCTCCTTAATTATACTGAGCTGATTTGTAATTCAAAAAAGATTGTTAAACAACTCACGCATGAAAAGTTATTAAACTACGTGTACTAAATCACAGAACTGGTCGAAAAAGTACGGGGTTAGATTTCATTAACTCTACAATATAATTAAGTAAAACTGACGCGTCATTTTCATGGTTTTAATGGACTGGAGTCCAAGCGGAAAGGCAATTGTTTACCTTGAGTAAGCTATTGTCATAAGATGCGATTGGCTAAACAAAAGAGTCGCGGGCCGTGCGTACCGCAACGCGAAAGGCAACACAACCGAAACACCAAAAATATCGCAATAAACATGAATCAGTAAAACAAATGTAAAACGTATGAAAAAATTCAAGGACAACAAAGTATTTGACTAAATTAGATGCCAAAAAGATTAACACAGACGAAAATAGCAAAATCCACAGTATAAAAGGAGCTAAAAATCAAAGTCTAGGCTAAGGCAAACCGGAATAAAAAAATATAAGACATGCAACCAGGGGGGATAGAAAGACAACTGACTTCCGGCACTCGGGAGTCATCACAGCATGCCGTCTGTGTGTGTAAGTGAGCTCAACGTGCTGAACAGCGCGACTGGTGACA